TTTATTTATTTATTTATTTATTTATTTATTTATTTATTTATTTATTTATTTATTTATTTATTTATTTATTTATTTATTCATTCATTCATTCATTCATTCATTCATTCATTCATTTATTTATTTATTTATTTATTTATTTATTTATTTATTTATTTATTTATATCCTGCCCATCTGGTCTGGTCGACCACTCTGGGCAGTTTCCAATAAGAATTTTAAAACAGTTCATAACATATACAATAATAAAACAAATAATAAAATAAATAATAAATGAAAGAAAAAATAAAGAATGTGGTCGACCAGACCAGATAGGCGGGATACAAATCAAATAAATAATAAATAAATAAATAATAAATAATAAATATTGACAGGAAGGAAGGCCTGAATATACAACCATGTTTTAGTTGACTCTTAAAAGTGCCCAGCGTAGGGGCCACATGAATAACCAGAGGAAAGTTATTCCAGAGGAGAGGAGCCACCGCTGAGAAGGCCCGGTTTCGTGTCTTTTCCCTCCGGGCCTCCCTCGGTGTTAGGCTCCTCAGCCTCACCTCCTGGCTTGTGAGTCCAAATAGATCTAGGTGGGAGCAGGCATTCTGCCAAGTATCGGGATCCTAAACCATTTAGGGCCTTATATGTAAGCATTAACACTTTGAAGTCAATGCAGAAATGGATGGGCAGCAAGTGCAGCATGGCCAGCCAGTGCAGCATGGCCAGAGTAGGAGAGATATGTTGGTATTTTCGCTGCCTGGTAAGTGATGAATCGGCACAAGAACACAGCGGGTGGCCATTTTTTTACCTGGTAGTCATTTTGGAACCGCTGATCAGCTGTTGGAAAATCATAGCTATGCGAAAATCAGTAAGCGAAACAGCGTACCGATCATCGCAAAGCGATTTTTTCCTATCTAAAAAATTGCAATGCGATCGCTTTTGCGATTGCAAAAACTTAATCGCTATGCAGATTTGTCCATAAATGGGGCACCCATTAAGCGAGGCACCACTGTACATAAAAGAAGATATCAGAAGAGGAACCATGTGTAGAGAATATTTTAGACTCCTTAAGTGAGAGGGCTCTGGTA